TATTTTTATAATAGTCATGATCAATGGAATGGATTGCGGTTGAACCTTCTTTGATTAGATATTTATTTTTTTTGTTGTTGCATAGTCTTTGCTAATCCTTCACAATTGACAAAAGTTGAGACGTTTATCTCTAAAGTATCATTCTAGTTGTATTGTTCAATGGTATATTTATATATGTTGTAAATATATTTCTCCACTTTGTTTGCTTGGCAAGTGTTGTTTTTCGATTAATATTGTTAATAAAATATGGGTGGAGCAATGAAGAAGAGGAAGTGGAAAAGAATAGAAAGAAATGGTTCTGATTATGTTTACTGTTAGTTGTCCTCCTTGCAAACAAAAGATTAATGATGAAAATTGTTGTAGCTTATTTTATTTTATTCTTGCAGATTAGCATTTAAAGATGGTGCAATATAATTTCAAGAAGATTACTGTGGTACCCAATGGGAAGGACTTCATTGACATTATTCTCTCTCGCACACAACGGCAAACGCCAACTGTTGTCCACAAAGGTTATGCGATTTCACGCCTCAGGCAATTTTACATGCGTAAAGTGAAATACACTCAGCAGAATTTTCACGAGAAGCTTTCAACCATAATTGATGAGTTCCCTCGATTAGATGATATCCATCCGTTCTATGGTGATCTTCTTCATGTTCTTTACAACAAGGACCACTATAAACTTGCTCTTGGCCAGATAAATACAGCAAGGAACCTTATTGGTAAGATTGCTAAAGATTATGTGAAGCTGTTGAAGTATGGTGACTCTCTTTACAGATGCAAGTCTCTGAAGGTAGCGGCTTTAGGACGCATGTGTACAGTGATAAAGAGGATTAGCCCAAGTTTGGCCTACTTAGAGCAGATTAGACAACACATGGCAAGGCTGCCTTCTATTGACCCTAATACTCGGACAATCTTAATTTGTGGGTATCCTAATGTTGGCAAGAGCTCATTTATGAACAAAATCACTAGAGCTGATGTGGATGTCCAGCCTTATGCCTTCACCACAAAGTCACTCTTTGTTGGTCACACTGATTACAAGTACCTTAGATACCAGGTGATTGATACGCCTGGGATCTTAGACAGGCCATTTGAAGATCGTAATATTATTGAAATGTGCAGTATCACAGCACTGGCACACTTGAGAGCTGCAGTGTTATTCTTCTTGGACATCTCAGGATCATGTGGGTACAGCATTGCACAACAGGCAGCTCTTTTCCACAGCATTAAATCACTATTTATGAATAAACCATTGATTATTGTCTGCAACAAGACAGATTTGCAGCCACTGGATGGGTTATCTGAGGAAGATACGAAGTTGGTTACGGAGATGAAAGCAGAAGCCTTGAAGACTGTGATGGGTCAGGGTGGCGAACCCACAAATGAAGAAGGGGTGCTGTTGACTATGAGCACTTTGACTGAGGATGGAGTAATTGCCGTGAAGAATGCAGCTTGTGAGAGGTTGTTGGATCAGAGAGTAGAATTGAAGATGAAATCTAAAAAGATAAATGACTGCCTAAATAGGTTTCATGTTGCAATACCAAAGCCACGCGACCAGAAGGAAAGGCCTCCTTGTATTCCTCAGGCAGTTTTGGAAGCTAAAGCTAAGCAAGCAGCAGAGAAGGAAAAGAAGAAAACAGAAAAGGATTTGGAGAATGAGAATGGTGGGGCTGGAGTCTACTCTGCTAGTTTGAGGAAGAATTATATCTTGGCCAATGATGAGTGGAAAGAAGATATAATGCCTGAAATTCTTGATGGACACAATGTGTATGACTTTGTTGATCCTGATATTTTATTAAGACTTGAAGAGTTGGAACAAGAAGAGGGCCTTAGACAAGCAGAGGAAGGAGATGAAGATTTTGAGATGGATGGCATTGATTTGACTCCAGAAGAGCAAAAAGCACTAGCTGAGATTAGGAAGAAGAAAAGCTTGCTTATTCAACAGCATAGGATTAAGAAGAGCACTGCAGAGAGTAGGCCCATTATACCAAGAAAATTTGACAAGGACAGGGAGTTCACAACAGAGAGGATGGGCAGGCAGTTATCCCAACTGGGGCTGGATCCTTCTCTAGCAGTTGATCGTGCACGGAGCAAATCAAGAGGCAGGAAAAGGGAGAGGTCACTTGACAGGAGAGATAGTGATGGTGAGGCTATGGATATGGATATTGACCAACCAAGCAAAAAGCTACGCTTACGGTCCAGATCCCAATCAAGATCAAAGTCACGGCCTCCAAGTGAAGTTGTCCCAGGTGAGGGATTCAAGGATTCCAAACAAAAGGTCAAGGCAATCAAACTGGGTAAGAAATCTGTTAGGAAGAGGAACAAGGATGCTCGAAGGGGAGAGGCAGATAGGGTGATCCCTACATTGAAACCCAAGCATTTGTTCTCTGGGAAGCGTTCTATTGGAAAGACGCAAAGACGTTAATGCACTTGAGGTATCCCTTGATCCTCATTGTCAGGTTTCACGTTGGGAGTCAGATGCAATCTTTATATTCTGGTTACTTATTCTTCATTTTTCGATGTGTTGAGTTAGATCGAACTCATTTGCAAACTTTGCCAAAGTTGGGACTTCTTTTATGTATTCAGTAACAGGAAATGTTAGACCGTTGATTGTTTGTCTTTTTTACAATTTATCAATGTCATTTGCGGTTCTTTCCGGGATTAATTATTATATGATGTTTCATTTTGAAAAATAAGGGATGATTGTTTGTTTCTTCTATGGATTTATCAATGCCATTTTGGTGGTTTTTCCGGGATTAATTATTACTCCCTCCCTACGTTTCAACTTTATTAGAGTTAGTTTTTTTCTTCTTTTTTTTCTTTCTTTTTTTTTGTTTTTTTTTTAAAGACCAATATCATTTGGAGGCCATTGAGTTAAAAAAACACTTACAAATATGAATGTGAATTTTCAGAAAAAGTTAAGAAAGTTGAGTTTCTCTCGAAATTCTTAGCACACTCAAGTTATAATTTTTTTTTTTTTTTTTTTACCAAGTTTACAAAGGTGGGTTTCGAACACACCATGAGGGAGGGAGGGAGGGGGGAAATGCACTGCAAGGCAATCCGAACGCCACTTGGCCCAAAGGGCCAAGTGCCACTTAAGTTATAATTTAGCCATTAAATATATGAAACAAAAATTTAAAATTGCAATAATACTTATCGAAATTCCCAATGCTTATAAAGAGAAAAATCTATAGCCATTCTCCGAAGATACAACGCAATTACAAATTCGGGGATTAGGATTAAAATAAAATTAAACAAAACTGATAATTGAAGAGAAGGGTAAATCAACTTGAGATAATTTGGGTTTTGAGGACTTTTTTAGAAATATTTTCCTTAAATTTGAAATTATCTTCTCAAACTCACCTTTATAGATACTTTCCTTGAAAAAACTACTCCAAATTCCCGCAAACAAAAAATTCTCCTCCAAATTAATCACAGTTCTAATGGATTTATAAGCAATGTCTATCTTGTTTAAGTTTTTTGGTAGAGAGATCCCCCCCTTTCCCAAAGTATTTTTTATTCAAAATTTATTTCAAATTAATTATCTTTTTTTAATTGTTAAATAAGATAAATATCATTTTTTTATATTTTAAACTTATAATTATTTCTTAATTTTACTTATCTACCATATCACTAAAATTTTATCTTTTATCTTGAATGTATTTTTTTTAAATAATATAGATAAATATATAAATTATCCCTATATTCTAAATTTGTAACAAAGTAGTAGAAAAAATAATCACTATTTTGGACTTAAGAACACTTTCTCAGTTTTAAAATAATTATCATTTTCTTTATAAATTTATCTCAAATTAATTTTTATCTTTAAAAGAGATGAATATTTTTTTTTACTTTAATCCTTTTATTATTAATTTATTTTAATTAACTATTTTATTATTAAAAGTTTTATTTTACCATTTATCATTTTTAGAATAACATAAGTAAATAATACATAAATTATTTCTAAATTTTTAATTTTAAAAAATTAAAAATAAAAAAATTATAATCACTTTGTGACAAGAGTTTATAAAAGTATCAATCCTTGGATTTCTGCCCTCTGTTGCTAACCCAAACATAACTCCGACTCCGTGCCAAATTAAAATTAAATTCCCAACCTAATCCCTCCATGCCGAATTAAATTCCACTTTTATTATTTGATTCCCAAGAATACCAAAATAAGATAAAATTCCAAAAAAGTCCCAATGGGGGCCGAGATTAAAAGAAGTACACCAACTTCTTTTTCTCCAAAGCTTGCGTGGGAAGCTCCTTCCTATGTAAGCTGCAGCCCGAGTGGGATTTGCCTTTTTCAAACCTTTTCGTTAACGGTCCCTCCAACTTACCAAACGAGGTAACTAAGTCTATAAATATGTCAGGAGCTTTCTGTGCAGACGATGCTATGACTCAGAAACCTTGTTAGAAAAACTAGAAGAGCTTTCACTGCTGACGATTCTTTCTCAGAAGTCTGAAGACTCTTGACTGACTCTGGGAGGAAAGGTATTCTTTCTTTTTGAATGAATGTGTTTGTTTGTTGTTTGTTCTGCTTTCTTTTGTTTTCTCTTTATGTTTCGTTTGAATCTCGTCTCTGGTGTTTTTTTGTTGATATTTCATGTGTAGCATGTACGTTTGTTACTGGCCATGATTGTTCTGGTTCAAAGTTTGAATTTTGACTCTACTTAATGTTGCACGTAGAGACGGGAGGAGAGGAAAGAAAGAGAGTTTGTGTTTTGATTTGTGTTTCTTGAGTTTTGTCCAGGAACAAGAACAAGAAGAGACATTCTGAACAAGTTTTTCTTCCTTGGAATTTGAAACGGATTGTATAGTTTTTAAGTTTCTGGGTATACACTTTTCCTTCGAAATTTCTTCTCTGTTTTTCTTGAAAATTGAGTTTCTTGATCGTTTTTGAGATATTCTTATGGATTTCAAGTTTGTTTTTTTAATGGAGATCAATGTTTGTAAAAACGGTGTGAAAGGGTTGAAATGGGTTCTTAAAATTTGTACAAAGTCTTTCTATGTTTTACATCTTATGAAGCATGATCAATGTATCTGCTTTTTCAGGAAAGACAAAGGCATTGTAAGAAAGCTGTTTTTACTTTGAGCTTCATCAACCATGGAGCTAACTTCAATGGGAATGGATCCAACTGCTGAACGACAATCTGTTGATCCTCTCCAATTTGCCAGAAGGTGATTCCTAATCTTTTTATATATATACTTTTTTTCAGAGTGTATGATTTTTCCTGCATGTTGATACATGGAAAGTGCTATTCCTCTCACATTCTTTGTTAATGGGTTCTTTATGATTGTAGCTATCAACTGGAAGCATTGGAGAAAGCAATCAAGCAAAACACGGTGGTTTTTTTGGAGACTGGCTCTGGAAAGACTTTGATTGCAGTCATGCTTCTCCGGAGCTATGCTTATCTTTTCCGAAAACCTTCTTCACTCTTTACTGTATTCTTAGTTCCTCAAGTTGTCTTAGTTAAGCAGGTTTGCAACATTGACCTCTCTCTTTCTCTCTTTATATAAAATTCATGGCACAACAACTATAAGAAAATATGCAGATGTTGGGCCTTATTTTTAAATCTATGAATTCTGTTCGTTAATGTACTTGTCATATGTTGTCTTTCAATGTTTCCAATAGCAAGCTCAAGTTGTCAGAATGCACACTGATTTGAGCGTGGGTGAATACTGGGGAGAGCTAGGAGTTGACTTTTGGGATGCTGCCACGTGGCAACGTGAAATAGATAAACACGAGGTGAGCTTCTAACATGTTGGTACCAGATGATGTATGATACTTGATTTTACAAGATGCTTTGTTGCTGTCATAATATTTGACTTAGTCATTTTATTTGGAGGTGCCTTTTCTGTTTCGAAGTTTCTATCTTCTTGGATCTGCTTGGAGCTTTTAGTTTTATATGTAATGTATTCATTGAAAACTTTTCTTAATCTGGCCAGCAAATTACCATATTAGATAACAACAGCAGAAACCAATAATTGTTGAATAGACGTAAAACCAATTTATTCCTATAACTTAGAGCTTTGTTTAATCTGGACTTTTAAAGTTCTGGCTTAACATATTTTCCCTCAGCTGCTAACTTTTGACATATCATAAGAAAGTTTTTCTGTTTGTAAAATACTGTCTGCACCTAGCTCCCGGTAACATGCTCGTGCAGTGATCAGATATTTGTTCTTGTGTGTAGAACAGAACCCAGGTGTTTCAGTTATCTGCCTATCAAGGGATGTCAATGAACTATTTTTTAGCTTTATGTTATTTATTCATACATTTGATTGTCCCCTAATGATTTTCAGAAAGTTAGTTTAGTTCTGGTTCTAGTATCTTTTCCATCTGTTCTACCTTGGTAATATTGTAGTTATTTCCTTTTTGCTTCTTCATATTGTTGGTTACCTATGGTACTTGCAATTGAAAATAATTTCATGCTGTCAGGTGCTTGTGATGACACCAGCAATTCTCCTTCGTGGTTTGAGGCACAGCTTTTTCAAAATAAACATGATAAAGGTTCTGATATTTGATGAATGCCATCATGCAAGTGGAAACCATCCTTATGCTTCCATTATGAGAGTGAGTTTCATTCCTTATTCAGTCAGTTTATTAAATTTGATGTTAAACTGTTTAATGTTTAATATAATGTGTCCAGAGATGCTGATGTTCTAATGTTCATTTTATCAAGTACAATGAAATGAATGCAATAGAAAGAACTTTTACATTATCTTAAGTAGTTTGTTTTATATTATGGTGCAGTGCAGAAGATTTGAGTAAATTTAACCCATTGCTGAATCATTGACTTTGTTACATGCAAATTGCTTTTCGTTTTTAATGTAATTTAGAAATTACTTGCAATTGCAGGAGTTCTACCATTCCAACCTTACATCTGGTGTAGATGTATCCAATCTTCCAAGGATTTTTGGGATGACTGCATCCCCCATAAAGTCAAAAGGTAAGAGTAGTTTATCCTCTTATATTATTTATGCCTTATTTGCTGTTTATATTACATGTTGTTCTAAAATGATGAGCATTTGACCCCTGTATTAATACAGGTGCAAAGTCAGCTGATAGCTATTGGAATCAGATTCAGGAACTTGAGACCATTATGAATTCAAAGGTTTGCTTTGGTTCTCTGTTAACGGGTTTATTCTTATTATACCATCTATTTTGAAAAACTCATCTAATTGAGTTATTTACTTCTATGTATTCTTTTGATTCCACTTAGTTAAAAATTTTCATGTGTTTTACACAAGATTCAAGCTGAAAATTTTTCTTCTAGTGAGCTAATTTTCATCAAAGGAAATACAAAACAACCACAGTATATTTTTTTCTTGTAAATTGTAATTTAGTTTCATTCCTTTGGGGGTTGAAATTCTAGGTAGTTTCTATCATACTCCTTGGTACTTAACAAAGTAGAAAAGAAGCCTTGGTTCCGTTTAGAATTCCCATCTCCTGCCAATAGATCTGTGGCAAAGATGTATACCCTCAAAAATCATAACCACGGCAACTTTGGTACTCTTTTGTATTTGGCTTTTTCTTCTGGTTTTTTTGCCATCTCCTGTCAATTAATATTTCCTGCTGTCTTAACTGTAAAATGTAAAATCACATAGCCACACCTGATGACAGTTGGAGGCTATTGAACTAGACATTGATATATATATATATATATATATATTGTGCACTTGGCGTTTTGACACATGCAGAAAATTGATACATATTTGTTCACTTTTCTTCTTCGAATTGGTTGCCTTATATTTTGCTGTTTTTCCTTCTTCTTTTTTCTGTCATAACTCAAAATTGTACGTTGAGATTATTTAACTTATTAATATTTTAACATTTTTTTATTTGAAGGTGTATACATGTGTTAATGAATCAGTGCTTGCGAAGTTTATACCTTTTTCTACTCCAAAGTTTAGATTTTATTGCAATACGGAAATTCCTGCTAATTTACACACACAGATAATGGAGAAGTGGGAGCTTCTAAAAGTGGAGGTATGAACATATGTTGAGACCTTTCATTAGGAGAATTCTCCATCATTGCAAATTACTTTATGTGAGATCACTCAAATAAAGGCAACCAAACCAAAAATTTGTGGCTATTGAATCTTTATTATTGGCTCTCTTCCAAAATCCAAATGTAAAAGACATCAGTGTACTTTACGCATGTGCAAGGCATGGTTACTCTTGAGCTGGTTATTTCTGTTTGTTGTTGACAATATTTGTATTTCCTTTCAGCATATACGGTCTTTGAATGATTTAAATCTCAAGAGATCTTCAATGAAGTCTACAACAAAGAAAATAGAAAAAATACATACTTCTTTAATCCATTGTTTGGATGAACTGGGTGTGTGGTTGGCTTTAAAGGTACCCTTCAGTCTATATTTTTAGTTTTGCTCTATTGGCATTAGAATTAATATGTACGTCAGATATCCTTATGAGCGTGTATCTTTAACAGGCAGCACAGTATTTATCCTCAAATGAAAGTGATTCTCTTCTCTGGGGGAAATTGGATGTTGTTGGTGATAAAATTGTTAAACGTTTCAGTTGGGATGCATCACAGGCACTTGCTGCCCATATTCCATCTGGTATTTTCTACTTTTCTTGGGTTGATACACAATTGGCTAATCATTTATTTACACCATTTTTTTGCTTTCTATTTATTTAACCATACAGGTCCAGAGTGGACAATCTCTGATAATGTGGAGGGAAATGTTGTAGCGGGGCTCTTGACCACAAAGATTGTTTGCCTCATTGAATCTCTTCTAGAATACAAGTATGATTATTGTTGATACAGAAAATATCTTAAATGTAGTTTGATCTCCTTTTCTCTTTTTAAAGTTCAAAGTCTGGCAAATTTTTTTATATCAAATTCAAGGCTAAGAACATCTTAAACCCTCTTTTATGGCAGATTTGTTCTGTCAGATGCTCTTTCTTTTTTTCTTTTTCTCTTTTTTCTTTTTTTTTTTTTTAGGTTTCTGTCAGAGATATTGATTTTTAGAGCTATGATTATGAACATGGTCACAGAATAAATTTTGTAAGGGTTGCATATAACTTTGCTTTTGAGTGCATAGATTTGTATTAAATGATAGTAGTAGTAGTATAGTTAGTTCTTGAAGGATTTTCTTTGTCCTGTGAATGGATATAATGGAGTTTGTCAATGGAAATTACCTCAGAGGTTGCTTAGATTCAAGCAAAAATAGATAACGGTATTCCTTTTTTCTTTTTTTTGGCCTTCGATAACAGTATTCCTGATCATTCAATTTTTAATCATCCCTCATTCCATTTAGTTTGCTAATGCATCAGTTGAATTCAGGGATGTCGAGGAGATAAGGTGCATAATTTTTGTGGAAAGGGTTATTACAGCCATTGTGCTTCGATCTCTATTGAGTGAATTGCTTCCCAAGGACATTAACTGGAAGAGTGAATACATTGCTGGAAACAACAATGGATTGCAGAGCCAGAGTAGAAAGACTCAACATGAAATTGTACAAGAATTCCGCAAGGGCTTGGTATGTATGTGTAATGTATGATTTAGCATACAATGAACGACTTGCCAACTAGGAACTGATGTTGGAATGATTTGCTTTTAGGTGAACATAATTGTGGCCACATCAATTCTTGAGGAAGGTTTAGACGTTCAAAGCTGCAATTTGGTCATTAGATTTGATCCTTCATCCACAGTTTGCAGTTTCATACAATCTAGAGGACGTGCCAGAATGCAAAATTCGCATTATGTACTTATGGTCAAGAGGTAATGTTTCCACTCCTTTTTAGATATTTTCTTTATATCTTTTATAGTCTTAAAAGTAGTTTCAATGAGAAATGACTTTTAAGGCTAAAAAAAAAAATAGAAAAGTTCTCAATACTTCAGTTGTTTCTTTTGTTAAGAAAAATTATTTTGTGGCTACTGTTTTGCGTTATGTCTTCATCTTATTTGGTATATTGTAGTGGAGATGATTGTACACATTCTCGACTAGAGAACTATCTTGCTAGTGGAGATATGATGAGAACTGAGTCCTTGCGCCATTCTTCTGATCCTTGCTCTCCTCTTGAAGATGGTCTATATGAAGAATCATATAGTGTTCCAAGCACAGGGGCAGTTGTGACGCTTAGTTCCAGTGTTGCTTTGTTAAACTACTATTGCTCACGCTTACCATCAGATGGGTTAGTAACTATTAATGTTTTTCATGCAGACTGCTAATCTTCATTCATTGTTGTTAAGATCTTATATTTGTTTTCTATTATGGCTCTCTTTTGAGCTATTTTTCTTAATTATGTTGTTTCATTTTCTCTAGGTATTTTAGACCAGCTCCAAGGTTTGAAATAAACAAGGAAATGGGAATTTGTACGCTGCATCTTCCGAATAGTTGCCCTGTGAAAACTGTATATGTGGAAGGAAACATTAAAAATCTAAAGCAGAAGGCATGCCTTGAAGCATGCAAAAAATTATACGAAGTTGGTGCTTTGACAGATCATCTTGTTCCTGATATTGTAGCAGAAGAGGCTGCTGTGCAAGAATTGGGTAATTATCATATCTTTCCTTTTTGTAAGCTATGTGGATTGAGAAAATTCTTTTGATATACTTGAATGGTACAACAAGTAATTGGTTTTCCTAACTATCAATGCAAATTGTTTCGTACTTTGTTTCTTAGGGAAGGAGCCATATAATGATGACCAACCAATCTATTTCCCAGCTGAACTGGTCAATCATTGTACAAACATGTCCGAAACTAAGTACTACTGCTACTTGATAGAGTTGAAGCAGAACTTTGAGTATGAAGTTGGCGTTGAAAATATTGTGCTTGCATGTAGGACTCAACTTGAAAATGACATCATAAATAGGAGCTTTGAATTAGATGTTAATCGAGGTACAATGTCAGTTAAATTTAAATCAATAGGAGCCATGGATCTTAGTCGAGAAGAGGTAGTGTATCTGGTTCCTTGCCTTAATATCTTTTTGCCTTGCTTCCAACTTCTAATGTAACCTTTTTTTTTTAATGTTACCATTCTGCAGATTCTCTTCTGTAGGAGGTTTCAGATCACCCTGTTCAGAGTTCTTCTGGATCATAAAGTAGACGGACTAAAGGGGGTTCTAGATGGAATTAAGTTGGGGGATGATCTTGAAATGGATTATTTGGTTCTCCCTTCAACTAGTTCAAATGGTAAAGATTTGATCCACTGGAACTCGGTTAAATCTGTTGCATTTTCTTGTGAAGATGCTTTGGAGGGTCATGCAAACTGCAATCCTGGAGTTTTACAAACAAAAAGTGGTCCAGCATGCTTATGCATGATTCAGGATTCATTGGTGTATACCCCTCATAATGGTTATGTCTACTGCATAACTGGTATCTTAAACGGCTTAACTGCAAATTCACTTTTGAGCCTGAGGAATGGAAATCTTATAACGTACAAGGAGTACTATAAACATCGGTAAGTATTCTTATGATACCTTAAGCGTCAATGATATTGTTCTCTGTAGGATACTTTACTTTTGTATTATTTGTTCTTTTTTGGGCCAACCAATCAGACTACTTTTGTATTATTTGCAAGTAACCATAAGCAAATTTTATGCAACAGGCATGGTATCCAGTTATGTGATAGTGAAGTATCATTTCTGAAGGGAAAACACATTTTCCATGTGCAAAACCACCTTCACAGATGCCAAAGGCAGAAGGAGAAAGGTGTCCTTTCTCTTCTCCTCTTCTTCTTCTTCTTCTTCTTCTTTTGTCTCTTTTTTAATAAAAAAAGACTAGTATTTTCAGGTCCATGGTTGATCTTAACTTTCTTAATAATTTATTCTAATTTAGAGTCACATAGAGAGTAATTTAAAATTTCAGAGCTCTCTTCTGCAATGTTAGCTGATTTAGCCTTTTTAAATGTTTCATTGGCAAGAAGAATATACTCTTCTACAGATTTCCTTTCTTATATCCTTTGAAAAATGTTGCTTCATCATTTTTATTTGGTCTTGACTTTGTCCCTTTGCAGAACCAATTGGCGCATCTGTCGAATTGCCACCAGAACTTTGTCAGATCATCATGGCCCCAATATCTGCAAGTACACTTTATTCTTTCACATTCATCCCATCAATTATGCATCGACTTGAATCTTTGCTTCTTGCTGTCAACTTAAAGAAGATGCATCTGGATGATTTCACACAAGATGTTATTATTCCAACCTCAAAGGTATTTTTTTTTTTTCATGTTCTCGTAATTTTTATGGCTATTGGTATGATGCTTATGAAGAATGCTGAGTTCTATGGCATTTAACATTTATCATGTCTAGTTTTGCAGGTAGAAGTTGGGGCTAATTTGTTCTTCATTTTTCAGATAATCTGGACTAACTATTTTGTATTTTCAGTTAATTTCTGAACGTGAATAGTGCTCAGTTCTAAGGGATTTACTAGTTCAACTATTTTTGCATTTTTAGTTTAATTTCTGATATAAGCATGTATTTTCATGGTTAGTAGCATCATTTAGAAGTGCAAACCACTTATTATCAAGTGGTTGAAATATAATCATTACACATTTACACGAGATGAATGTGGTATGTTTATTTTGAGGATGAAATGTTACCCTTGGGGTATATCTTGTTTCGTAAATGAAATTCTGTTAACATCTTGTTTAACTCAGTGGTTTAACTTCTGCTGGATTCAACTCTGCATGGTAGGTTTTAGAAGCAATAACCACAAAGAAGTGCCAAGAAAATTTTCATTTGGAATCACTGGAGACTCTTGGCGACTCTTTCTTGAAATACGCCGTGAGTCAGCAGTTGTTCAAAACATATCAAAACGATCACGAGGGTCTTCTCAGTGCCAAGAGGGAAAAAATAATTTCAAATGCTACTCTCTGCAAGCTAGGAGTGGATCGGAAACTACCGGTAGCCTTTTTAAGTTATTTTTATCTTGAGTTATTCATTTAATGCTTTCATTTTGCCATCTTCCAACAAAGCTGTCTCTTTTATATCTCGAAGCTTGCTTAGTAGCCTCATTTTTTTATCTTATTACAATGTTTTCCTTTCTTTGAGGGTATTAGTATCTGTTTTTGATGTCATTTAGAAATATGTTTTGAAGATAAGTAATCAGGATAAGACCTACTTAATACTGTCATTCTTATTAGATTTCAAGCTGGCTTTGCTTGGGGGTTGATGTATCATGAACATGACTTAAGATTTTTCTCTAAACTGCAGGGATTTATCCGTACTGAGCCTTTTGATCCTAAGAGTTGGGTGATTCCTGGTGACAATTCCAGTAGTTCTATATTGAAAGAGGACTTGCTTCCTGATGCGAGAAAAATTTATGTCAGTGGACAAAGAAAGGTTAAAAGGAAGACAGTTGCGGATGTTGTTGAGGCACTTATTGGTGTATATCTTAGCACTGGAGGTGAATCAGCTGCCTTGGCATTTTTGAACTGGATTGGTATAGACGTGAATTTTACAGATACCCCAGGTGAAAGGAATTTCCAAATCCATGCTGAGAGGCATGTTAACATCCCTTACTTTGAGTCCCTCTTGAACTACTCATTCCGAGACCCTTCACTCCTCGTGGAAGCACTAACCCATGGCTCCTACACGCTATCTGAAATTCCAATATGCTATCAAGTGAGTCTAGAGATACCTGTGCTAAAAATTTACCATGTTTCGTGCTATGTCTCAATGATTTATGATTCTAGTATCTTATTTACTGATAATTTATCTTTTGTTAAGTTTTTATTGATCAATGGTTCATTTTTTTTTTTCTTTTCACTGTGCAGAGGCTTGAATTTCTTGGAGATTCTGTGTTAGATTATCTGATCACCGTCCATTTATACAGCAAATATCCCAGGATGTCCCCAGGATTGTTAACTGATATGAGGTCTGCTTCTGTGAATAATGAATGCTATGCACACGCAGCAATCAGAGTTGAATTGCATAAGCACATTCTTAATGCTTCGCAAGACCTCCATAACCATATTGTTAAAACTGTTGAGAAGTTCACGGAATCATCTCCAGAATGCAGTTTTGGATGGGAATCTGAGATATCATTCCCCAAGGTCTGTTGCTAAACTCACAAGAACATTTTGGCTGGACTACTTACTTGAACAGCATTCTCAAAACCTCTCTATCCTATGTAAAACATTTTAATAACTTGTTTCAGGCACTTGGAGATGTGATCGAGTCACTTGCTGGGGCGATATTCTTGGATTCAGGATGCAACAAGGACATTGTTTTCCAGAGTATAAGGCCACTGTTGGAGCCCTTGGTTACTCCAAAGACGGTGAGGAAACATCCTGTAAGCGAGCTTACTGAGTTGTGCCAGCGGGAACATTTTGATCTAAGAAAACCTATAGTATCAAGAGACAACGGTGTAGCTTCAATTACTGTGGAGGTGGAAGCAAAAGGGAAAATGTTTAGCTGCACGCAATCTGACACGGATAGAAAGACAGCCAAGAAATTGGCTTCCAAAGGAGTTTTGCAGGCTCTCAAGGAAAGCCTTGGCAGGACCTGAATGTTGCAACCAAACTTGGGAATAGTCTGCATTTGGCCTTCCCAAGTTTGAGAAATGGAGATCATGTGGGAGGTGGAGTCAAAAACTAGAGAGTATGGTGGTTGTGATAAGTTGTTTTGTTTTGGGGAATATATTTTGGGGTCAAAGGGGAAATTGATGTGATATTTCTTGAAAGTACAATGCAATGCTCCATTGGAACATCGATTTTGAATGGAACTACTGGTTCTATTCGCATGTGGTAATACTCCAACTAAGATGTCTTATAAAATAAGCTCCAACCAAGATCTCTTATAAAAGAAGATTACGGTAGCTGCTTATATTCAATTTTTAAAAAATTAATTGTTTTTTTTTTTTTGCAAGGGACGGGTTTCTAACCCTGCCTCGGGGGAAAGCACCGGTGGCTAATGCCATTAGACCTCAAGGGTCAGGTGCTAAAAAATTAATTGTTTATTCATCAACTAATAAGTAAATTAGAATATGTGTGACTAGAGTTTTTTTTTAATATTATCGTCAAAAATAAAATAGAAAATTTTTTTTCATTGTAGACTTATGGATTTATATCGCAAATTAAGGATACTTTTGAAATGTTATCTATGTTGTTTTATAGTTGTAATTATAATTTTTTTATCTTAAAAATATACAAAATATATTAATTAAAAAAATTAAATTTTTAAGTATTAATCTCAAAACTTAAATTGTAAACTTGACTAACAAAATAAGACTATTATATATACCAAACCTTCTGCTTATATGTGGTTCACTCTTTTATCAAATTTTCTCATGTATTATGTTCCGTCATTTAATGCCAAGCTGAGGTTTGTGAATAAGAGGATAGATTTAACTTCCCCAAAATACTTTAAGGAAATTGATTAAGAGAATTTGTTTTCTGTACAAATTTTTCATAAACTCATTTAATGGTTGAATTTTTTTATATATTAGTATATGTAATATTATATGTATTTATTTTAAAGATATATAAATTTTTTTGTAAATAAAAATTGTTAAATTAAGTTATGAAATAGTGTCTATATGTTTTATTTCTAGAAAAATAAAAGAAAACTCCCTATACAACTAAGTTTTTTTAATAAATTCTCATAAAAAAAAAAACTAAAATGTCCCTTTCTCCTAATTTTTAAAAGGATAAGTAGGGCTAAGGGTGGCCCCCTAAGCTCTTGAAAAAAATTTAATATACATCCTAGTTATTTATAAAATTATTAAAATACTAATTTGAAAAAACACTAATTCTAGTGCTGCTAGTTCACTTTTGCTCTTTTTTTTTGGTTTTCTAAGACTTTTGTAATTTTAAAGTTACTCTATTTTTGCATAACATATAATAATGCAAGTTGAAATTTCAAAATTTACATAAATTAGTACCTTTTGAATACTTTACTTAGTAATTATAAGTTGAACGTACAAAGATTTCTTTTTTTTTTCAAAGAATGGTTAACTTTTTCCTTTATTTACTTCAAAAAAAAAAAATCCAAAAAGAAGCAAATATTTAGGATAGATGCTCAAGGCAATAGATGAATCAACTATAAATTCAAACTTTCAGTAAAATGATAATAAAATTTCTCTAAAGTTTATAGTTCATATGCCAAATTTTAGAAGAGGACAGGAAAAAAAATTAAAAATGGGAGAAAGGAAAAAGAGAAATGTTATGAAAGGTAAATTTTGAATTTTTTATTAATTAGAGTAGGTAGAGATTTTATAAAATATACTGATTAATTTTTTTTTATAAGAATTACATATAATGAATATGTAAGATATATTTTACATTATTTTATATGTGGATATTTGTTACGTAAAATAATTTTTTACCTTTTTTTAACTTATAATAAGTTTTGGTAAATTATAATTACTTAGTGAAATTATTTTACGTATACTATATACTTATTTTTGTAGGTTATATAGGAAAAAAATTTTTGGCCCCCCAAACATTTTGCTCAAACTCCGTCACTGAAATTATCTGGCACTGAAACAATTGCTGTATGACAATTTTTTTTCATTTTTTATGACATTGGATTTAGATAAGGATGACAACGGGTTCTCGTAAAGCCAAGTTATTATTAGTCATAGTTAAGGAGCAACGTGCATCTGAAATCAAGCAAACAAGGGGAGATGCAGGGAAGGCTGAGGGGACTGAGGAGCCAGCAGATACGAAACTATGTATTCCATCCATACAAGCTTGTCAAGGATGTAAGGACAGGAATTCAGACATCAGACCTTGCTTCTGTAATGGATGGTGACCTGGATCCTTTCATCAAAGCTTACCTCAAGTACAAATACAGTACAAGACAATTTCTGAATCTGGGGCCAATTAATATTCTACTCATTTTTTATTATCTCATTCATGTATATCATGTTTACATGGGTTCTGATTCTTCGGGCAGAATGTAGGGTCGAAGAACGTAGATTATCATAACTTGACATTTCCCGTGCTGTTAATCTTCACAGGCTGTTTAAGATGCTTTCAACATGTATTTTCATTTCCCTGGTTATCATCTCACACTTGTTAGATCCTTCCTATGGTGGCATTTCCAGCCTTCTTCCGAAATCTGCAGGGTAAGTCAAACTGAATTTGCAGGGCAGTTCACCACCGTCTGAACTCCAGCTTGGGATTGTGTGGCAAGTGGCACAGTTTCCACAAGTGAAATCATAGCCAAATTGGTGCTTTACATTTAAGGGCTTGAGCAGCGCCCATATGAAAATTGAGTAGAGAAGTTAACCGAACTGAGTTCAGTGGGCATTGCTCAGCTCAACTCGACTCAACTCAATTAAACTCTCTAGTTTTTGCAGCATAGTATCATTCATCTAGAAACAAATAACCATGTGTAAATAGACCTTATGTTAGTGTTCTTTTGTCCTTAAACACAGGATGGGCAAATCTCCAACCAAATTAGCTAAAAACAGAGTTTATTTTGCAAAGTGATTGTGTATATATTGACAATGGCGTGGCAAGGAAGGCCAACACGTTGCATTCTTTGAAGTACGCATAAAACATCGAGGGCTGAAAGTGTGAAACTGCCGTTTTGTTTAAATTCTAAAAAACAACTACCATGGGAAAACAAATGTAGCTTTTCAGTAAGCTCAGGTTGCCTTCTTTTTCCCAAACAGTAAGCTCAGTGAGTAAGTATCGCCTTTCTGAGCAGCAACTTCAACTCGCCGTCCACCAACCTGTCAGTCATTACCATAAAAAACTCGTTATGGTTGACATTGCTGGTGAATTTGGGGAAGTTGACTAGAGTCGAAAAAGATGGAACAACAAATATTCAAGGACCCAGCAGAAACTTTAATGAGGTAAAATTTATGATGCCAGCATATATATGAAATACCTTGTCCATAAGCCAATAGCCAATTGTAGGCATGTACTGCACCAGATACATTACAGCTAGCACAGGCTGAAAAGGGACAACCAGAAATTTTAATATTTTAGTGCAACTAGCATAAACCATTTCTATTTTAGTTTTTTGAGGTAGAGTTCAATTGAATATCCTTTGAACATTTTAATATGAAGGTATGTTACTACCGTATAATACAACCAAGGTAGATACTTTAACTGAACAGACAGCATTCTTTATTTGGCAAAAGACCAAAGAGAGTTATACTTTGAAATTTGTATGATTGTGATGTAGAGCATTGGAGGAGAAGAAATAGAGGGAGAGAAACATATAGGAAGGGAAAGGGGAAATATAGAGAAAAAAAGTGAAGGAAATACAAAAAGAGGATGAGGAAACAGAGAAACAAGAGAAAGACAGGAAACTATTTAACCCAGAGATCATATTTGAATGTGGGCATGCATACACTCTATAAGGGAGGGAGAGGGAGAGGGAGAGAGAAAGAGAGTAAAACCGTAAGGAGACCTAATAAAGCACACGGTTAACCATGATTAAATTAATGAGTTTTAACAGACATATTTCACTTGGACATCTTCCATACAAGAAATAAATCATCATTAATGCATTAATGTTGAAATCCAAAACTCTATCAATTGCGTTGGTTAGGCCTTCAACACTTTGTTATGACAAATTATGAGACCTAGATCCAAACAGAAAGAATTAGAACAAGAATATAGATACCTGGTATGATATCCAAACTTCCTTTAAACCATGGGAGGCAGCAATGATTGTAAGCTCTGCACACCTTTGTGCTGACACATGCTTCTATTAAAAGAAAAAAATCATGCAGAAGATTAGAAATATATATGTGCAAGGAACTAGGTAAGTATCTTGTCCTGCAGGTGGCTATGAGATGGTGTACCATAACTTTCCTCATTCTTTACAATAGCAGAGAGAAAAAACCTAGCTTCAACAGAGATTTTTTTTTTTTTTTTGGGGGGGTGGGGGTCGGGGGGAAGCCTGTAGAGAATTTGATTTAACAAAAACTCAACAGTATTATCCTCCCAACCATTCAGATCTATGTAAGAGTGCTATGCAACCCATTCAAATATTACAAGGATCACTAAAATTGATGTTAGGGTAAATTACAAGATAATGAACTTACTTCAGATTTCTGTCCCAGGTTTCTTGCTCCAGAACCATTTGATGTTTCTATTGGCCCAGGACACACAACTGTAACCTTGATCCCTTTCTGACAAAGCTGCAACCAAGCAAAATCAAAAACAAAATAAGACAAAAATGAGATGGCACAGAGAAAGAGAGGACAGCATCTGAGGCCATTAATTGGCATCCACAACAAAGGATGCTCTTTTAAAATGCATATACCTACTGTTCCCACTAGAAACATAAAAAACCGAAATCAACTCTAATTCTCAATAAACTCATTCACCTTAAAGCAAGAATTTGAGATCCTCAACTCAAAATGTCTACAACAAAAGCATATTCAAGAGTGACACTAAATGAGACAATGCTAGAAGCCTTGAAGTTTGAATAAGCAGAAGGCAAGAGTCATCTCCCTGAACATAGTTGAATTTTTAAAACCAACTTTTAATGGTATGGAATCATTACTTCAGTTCAAACTTCAAACTTAAACAGGATCAGTATAGTTTGGCTCTGATTCCTTTTTCCAAGTCATTAACTATTATTGCAAATATAATTAGGCTATAAGTCACAAGACGCAACATACAACTAAAATGATGAAGAAACTTCATTTGCAATCAGGACAGATATTTCATTCATACCTCAGAACGCAAGGTATGGAAGTATCCATTTAGGGCATATTTAGAAGCGGAGTAGACAGCTTGGCCAGGTGCAGGTGTCTTTCCAGCAGCACTGCTCATCTACATATGATAACTATTTTAGCAAAGGATGGAAATGTATTAAATTTTCAGCTTTATAAAGATGAGGCTCATGGCCATCAATTAGCATCAAACAATGTTTAAGTAATGGATGGAAATAGGTTAGGCAGGAATTATGATCTTTCAAAAATTAATCTCAGATGGGTGTTAGGCGGATCAATTATGGCAGAACTAGTTTTTCCAAAAAAGATGGCAAAATTAGTTGAACTTTCATCACGTAAATGCATCTGACTAGTCACATTCATTTAGTCCAGCTGTATAAAGTTGTAGTGCATGTCTCACAAAGTATGATGTTAATGTCCAGCTAAGCAATTTTGCAGGAAAATGAGTGGCCCCCACAGGTCAACTTATATTTTTCATTGGTAAAAGATCATTATTACCACATACCACAACAAAGTGACCTCTTCCCCGACTCAACATTGAAGGTGCCAGCAGCCGTGTAAGAGAGATTGTCCCAAGCACATTGACATCAAATGTAGCCTAATGTGGAAAGACATAGAACAGAATCATTACTTCTGTAAAGGTAGATAATGACTTTATCAAAATATTACACTACATGTAAGAGTTACTACTGCCCATGAGCTCCCATAGTTGGTACCTTTAGGCCTTCCTCTGTCACATCCAAAGCTGTTGTTTTCTGACAAACAAGAAACACAAGACAAAGAGAAAAACATGTTACTGTGTCAGGAGGAAAGTCAAAGGAAAGTAATTCTCGCCTCAATCTTCAGTTTCTCTTGTAGCAACATATGACCTATCCATGGAAGCATGATTAATAGGAATTAATTATTGGCCATCATAGAAATGGTGCAAGTTTGTTCCAAAGAAACCCTAATTATTGGTTGTCGAAGAAATGGTGTAAGTTTTCTTCAAACTGAACACCACATGAGATGACCAAACCAAAAGAACCTTTGTGATCATGCATTTTGTAAAGCCATTTGAGTAATGAAATTTCCGTGCCAAGAAGAAAAGTTTAACTTACAGGGCGCTCATAGGCTGCATTGTGGATCATATAGTCAACACCAACACCAGAGAAAGAGGATTCTGCTTCATCTACAGCCTTCTTGAGGGAAGCTTCTCCAGATGTCAAATCAAGGGGCAAAATCTTCACTTCCGCAGGTGCATGTTTACCTGCATGACTATCCAACACATCACTTGAAAGAAGTAGTGAAGACATTTAAAGGGGAAAAAAAATCTTGGAAGCCAATTTTGGCATACCAGTAAGTTGCCGCTTAACTCGCTCTAATTCAGCTTCATTTCTTGCTGAAAGTATTAGCTTGGCCCCTAAACTTGCCAATTGTTTAGCAAGAACCTCACCTGAGGGAGACAAGGAGTCATATCAACTACATTGTAACCTAACTTACATAACTTTATCTTAATAAATTCTCTAATATTGTTTTTATAGTCTGTGTATGACCAAACATATAAAAATTATAATTTATTTGGGATGAAACTATTCATTGAATTGGATGTTCGTCATATTGGACTGCAGAAGATATCCACAAAGTTTTATACCATTTAGAGGCAAAACTCAAGAGTTAAAGACTGATCCTAGTACTACAAGTAAGCTGCAAACATTTCTTTCATGAAATCCAAACCAGAGAAAAAATATAGTTAATCCTGATTATATTTATCCCTGAAGTACTAAGTAAATGTGTCTAACATCTTTAAGTGACGGCAGATGGCTCTTCATCAGAGAACTTTCTGTCTTTATTTAAGTAGCTGAGAACCAATCCGCCGCCAATTGGCTCATTTGCAATTCTTGTTAGTTGTCTTGTTTATCTTTAACATTGGCTGAAGCCACCAAGGCTAACCTCGTCTCTTATTATTTGTTTGGCTCAAACTATGGCCATTCGGCACCAAATGAGACAGCAGGCTAGGTGATTCCCAATTTCCCACTTTCCCCAGAAAGTAAAAGAAAGATTCCAATTCAAGCTATTTATCCATCCTTAATAACAACGATACTTATGTAGGACCGTTTTTCAAAGACTAACACAAGTCCCAACATCAACAACAACAATGATACTATCATCTTCAATTCCATACCAATCCAGACCAAAATAAGCAACTACGTAGCTACACTTTTGATCATTCAAGTAACTAAAAACAAGAAACTTTAAAGCTATAAATTCAAGAAAGCACAGAAATTTAGAACAAGATGCATCACTAGAAAGTGAAAAAAAGAGACATATCAATAAATTACAGGAAAAAAAAAAAAAAAAAAACAAAAAAAAAACAAAACAGAAAGACTAGAACTTCATACCAA